CATGGCACTCTAGCCGGGGCAACACAGTGAGACTCTGTCTCAAAAAAAAAAAAAAGATTTTTTAAAAAGATAACACTAACAGTTAAAATGTAGGTTCATTAAAAGTTTACCAAAGACAGTTGCACCTTGATCACAGATTTTTCAACAGTACACAGAACCACATTTTGTTGAAAGAACACTGTGGTATACATCTATAATACATAGCAAAGGCTAGAAACTGTTTCTGGTTGGACCTATTTATATTTGTAAAAGATGAAACAGTATACCTTCTTTCTAGGAAGCTGGAAATGGTATGTAAGGTTAAGTACTATATTTATATACCTACCAATTTATTTTACAAAGATAAACTCTTAGAAGACTATTCAAGCTGTTACTTAGGTCAAGCTGGTAATCTGCTTAAATAAGCAGAGGTATTTAAGCCAGAAAAATTTGGTCCTATCAATTTAGGTATTTTACTATGAATACATTATTTTCTATGACAATATTTTATGTATCTTAACTAAGTCACTTACAAAACATTTTAGGTTTGTCACTTAGGCATGGCCTAAGTCATCTTTATCTTCCATAATTATGCAGTTTGCAGCATGCTGTGGCTCAGATGGAAAAGTAAGCAAAGACTTTATTATCTCTATTTTATGATATAAGCACTCATGTACTACTTTGCTAGGCAGTAGAATCATTAGATTACTTCTATAGACAAAAAATTTCTGAACCAAAAAGAAAATTACTACATTGTTACAAGGTAAAGGGGAAGGGATTCACTCTATAGCAGCGTTTCACAACTGCAGTTCATGAAACTCTCATGTTTCATGAATTAACATACAAATAAACACATAAACCCTGAATTACCCTATACTACAGTTTCTTCTACAATAAAAAATACATATGAAAAATCCTAATACATATATATATCATTGTTATACAACAATCTGCCTTTAAGAAATGATGTGCCCATACTTAATGATTTTGAGAGATAAAAAAAAAAAAAAAAAGAAATGATGTGCCCAGTCATGAATGCCAGAAGTCAAAAAGAGATCATCTGATGTTCTAACACTTATCTGATCTGTATATATTATATATTTAGCAGTTACCAACAAAACATTATGTTATTATAGGTTGGTTATCCAATGATTACTAGTAAATGTTGGGTACTTTATAATATCAACTTATAGTTGTGCTGTATTATTCAATATTCATTGTAATTTAAACTAGTTAATAAAAATTTGGTAATTTCTAATGGCAATTAATTTGTGAAACTTTTTCTGCTATAAAGATATAATATAGCTAATATTTTTTTTCTACTTTATCAATACTTTATTTTTAAAAAGTATTCCATAGCTTAAGTAGTTTTGGAAACTATTCTATTGTGTATAAACACAATGACTCCTTCCTCCAATTTTATTTGGCTTCTTGTCATGTTTTTCTAGTTGTATTATCAATAGTTTCTCTTTTAAATGTAAGGAAAATTATAGTTCAGCCGACTACACAGGCAAAGGAGTCATTTTTTTTTCCCACTCAGCTTAATGCAAGATATAAAGCAGTTTTCTAGCTTACATTTCTTCCAGAATTTTCTGTCAAAAACTATTATTCTGTCTTACGATGAGAAGATTAAGACTGTGGCCTCCCATTAAGTATAAAAGTGATGTGCTTAGAAGGGGTTACTATACATTCGAATAAAAAAATGAAGTTAAAATGGCCATGAGATCAGATATTGGATATATAGTTGTTGACCTAGTTCTGTGAAAGCATATTTTAAAGTGTTCTGTATAGTAGGTCATGTTTTAGGTTACTCTGACATAATTTCTTGAATAAATTTCTATATCCTTGCTAGGATTAAGGCACTATAACAGTCATTGTTGGATTACATGTTAATAACGATCATATAGAACAAAGGATAAGAACTGAAGAGTCTTAATATCCCACTTAAAAGTTATATCCCTTACTTTACCAGCTAGTTGGTCAGAAAAGTTTAGGTCCTACGCAACCATGTGTGAGCTTATCTGAATAGCTGTGTAATCTAAACACATGGGCAATATAAGAAGGGAGGGCTAATCCTGATAATGGTCAACCTGAACCCCAGGACAACTCTGGTAATAGCTACAGCTTTGATAACTTCCTGCATTCTTCATCTCAACTGCTACAAGTTACACTACTCATAGTTATGGCTTTTCATAGCACTGCTCTTCAGAATGTACCATTCTACTGTGTGATTCATGCAAAACTAGAGTGAAAATTGCAAACAATCAGCTCAATTTGGAACTGCCATTCAGAGTAAATTACATTCAAAGAATCCAAACATGGAACTGGACTCATTCCTGCTGAATGGGTAGATAAAACAAAATCTTTTACATCATCCTTGAGTCTTTCATAGACACTCAGAATGAAGATAAGGTTTCCAGTAAACTTCAAGCTCTATTTTCTTTTTTAACCACTTTTGCGCAGTATTTTAGTATTTCACATCACCCTTGTTCAACCAAGAAGAACTTTCTGCATTCTGTGTGCGGCAACACTAGCCTCGTCTTCTGAGTCAGATTCGCTCTGGGATGTGGAGCTGTGAGAGGCAGAACTGCAAGGGGAAGAGCATTCTGGAGAACACAAGTAGTGCATCAGTGGGAGGCGGTATTTCCCACAGAAGTCCACAAATTTAATTTGTCTGACACAGCAGTCAAAGTAGACTCCTAGAGAGAAGGAATACAAAGTAATCATTACAAAGCAAGGAACCACAGTTTCTTTTTCAACCCTTCTCCAGCATTCTGGAGAAATGTCACAAAAGTCTTCTCTTTTGTGAATGTTAAGCAGAAATAGTACTTGCATCTATAGGTGTGTATAGACCTACTGGAAGGTCTTAGGGCAATTTGGCTGCAATGAGAAGGCAAGGAGATTTGTCTTAAAGGGAGCAGGCACACAAAGGATACTGTTTACTTAGCTTCTTTTCTCTGGGTGGCTTTGGGGGACAGTGGCTAAGGGAGATTATAAGATACCTAAACTGCCCTTCCACTATTCCCCAACCTACCCCCTTTAGTACTACCTTACAGTCAGGAGACTAAAACAAAACAAAAACTTCTTTAATAATGATCTTAAAGAATTAGTTATTATACACAAAATTTGCACAAAGGAGATGGCTTCTGGTACCCCTGTTCTTATGTACTTTCAAGGCAAAATTGAAAGAAACAAAATGCCATCTCACATTTCCAACAGGCTCTAAATCTACAGGCCTCAAAGCTACTGCTATTTCTCTGATGATCTCACTCTTGATTCTCACATCATTATATATTGTCAGGTAGACTGAAAGAAGTAGTCAACTCTTTTGATTCCTGAGTTAGTGCTCCTAAACTATGGCCCATCAGCTAAGTAAAAACAGAGCCAGAGCTGAGAGGAAAGCAGAGATTGCTATGCCTCTGGGATCTAGCTGATCCTTAAAAAGATACTACACATCTCTAACACAGAAAGACTATCATAATGATTGCAGTAAAACCAGAACACTTAGAATTTTGGGTCTCACTGCCTTTTTGGAGGGGAATCTCAACCTTTAAACCCTACTAAGTTTCCTCTGGCACCAACTACTGTATATTTATCATGTAAAGGGCCAAAATAAAAAGATGTGGTCTAAGCAAAGGAGAAAAAATGATTTCTATTTCTATTTTTTTTCCTGATACTGCCCCACTAACATTGTAGTTTTCTAATCTTGTAGTAAGTATATAACTCGTAATAGTTTAAAGGGGGAAATTTGTGGTACATTACATTCGACAATTTAGGAAAGTAGATACATTCAATAAATTTGTTAATCAATAGATTGATAATAAATCTCCCCAAAATGTGTTAGCTTCCTACAGATAGATGGAATAATAAAATAAAGCATTATGGAGTCACTGTGAGCTAAAATAGTACAATACTTTCTTATCATTTGTAAGATCTCAGACTATAAAAAGAAAACACCTCACGAAATATAAAAGTACTTCTGTTTAACTTCCAGATCGATAATGAATCTGAGGAGAAAAATGTCTAATGATTCATCTTATATATTATTTCAAATTTTAAACTGATAATTTTTAAATCATTTTTGTTCCTGAGATAAACAGCATACCAGTATACTAAAGAAGTCATTAAGAAACCATTTCAGAGAGAAAACAGAATTCTTACAGAAGTTCATTTCTAGAAAAGGATGAATTCAAAGAAGAGGCTAGATTTAGATTATTAGGTCTAAAGGCCTGGTATGAAGGCCTGTCCTCTTTGTTTTCCTCCGTCACAGTGATAGCCAATTCAGGAAAAGAGAACCACAGAGAAAAGCGTAAGCACTTCTAACTTAGCACAGCACTGTAACCTCTACCGTCTGAGTGACTAGAAACGGCCTATAGTATTCTTTTTAAACCCAAAGTGTCTTTTTTATCTTTTAACAATCTTTGAGGAATTTAATCATTTTCTCCCTTTCAACCTTATAACAGTTTCAAGACAAGATGTGACTTCCAGGGAAAATCTCACCTGGTTTTGGTCTTCTTTATGCAGCATTTCCTCAGTACCTACCGGAATTTTTTTTAAGTAGTCTTTTATGAGGCAGTCAAAACAAAATGACCTGCTATCAGTCACCAATTCCCACCCACACACCCTGGCACTTCAGGCCCTTCACAACCTGGCCTCAATGCATCTTTTCACTCTTCTCTCTCATTACTCCCCTAACTGTACATCTGAGCCAAATTATTACTTATCCAACATTCCGTCCCATACTGCTCTGTCTCCACTTTGTACTCTCGGTCTGAAAAGTTTCCTATTCTCAATCTTACCCTATCAAAATCTACTTCATACCTCAAGAATCATCTCATGTTTTCTAGATTTAATTCAATGTACTCTTTCCCCCCTGTGATTTCCAATAGCATTTTGAATTCTTTTGGATACTTACCTTACTTTTTGCCTTATATCATTTGCTTAATTCTAAATACCAAACTTAAAAAATTCTGAACCATGGATTTAAAAGAATTTAAAGTTCTAGGGTACATCCTGAAATCCGTACGCATTTAGCCCATTCTCATTCATCATGAATCATACCCTATAAAGGTATAGCATACACAGAATGGTGAGTCTAAGAAAACATCCTTCAAATAAATATGAAAGGTGTCCTAACACATTAGAAACTCTTTTTAAATAATTAGAACTGTTTATGCTCCCTTTTGTGATTTCTCTCATTTTACCATCCTGATTTATTATCTTATAACAGATCTAAGATAGGATGAGAATTCCTGGGTATTTTCCATGTGTATGAATCCTAAAATATTATGGAAAGAATTTGAAAAAAAAAACAAAAACAGAAAGAAATCTAGAGTGTAAAACAACTTACTTTCTGGTAAAAGGGTGAAAGGAAGAGGGGAACATAAACAGAAACTATCTCTGAAAGAAGACTTAGCTAATTATTAATAAAACAATACTTAGATTGTCAAATTCAAAAACATAGCTAAATGAGTGGAAAACATGAACAATGAATTAACTTACCTCCACATTTTGGGTTTGGGCAATTGCTGGCTAAACCCAAGTATCTAAGAAGATTCCCAGGAAGATCATAGGGAGTGTAGGAGACATTTCGTATCTTAATGGTCCGTGCAGCTAATTCCAAGAGAGTTGGAGGGTCATAGGTTAAATCTCTAACGAAACGAACAACCAATGGATTTCCTCGTAAACTCAACTCTTCCAGATGAATAAGGCTGAGGATCTCTCGAGGGAGATATGTCAGCAAGTTATTGTGAAGACTGAGGGAACGAAGTGAATGCAACCTAGAATAAATGCAGTATAAAAATCAATGGCAGTAAGCAATTACCAAGAAAATTAAGTTTGTGTGTGTGTGTGCACGCTGTGTACAGCTTGATTTCCCCTTAAGAATGAGCAATGAATGGCCGGGCGCGGTGGCTCACGCCTGTAATCCTAGCACTCTGGGAGGCCAAGGTGGGATGTTCGCTCCAGGTCAGGAGTTCGAGACCAGCCTGAGCAAGAGCGAGACCCCGTCTCTACTAAAAAAATAGAATGAAATTACCTGGACGACTAAAAATATATAGGAAAAAAAACTAGCCAGGCATGGTGGCACATGCCTGTAGTCCCAGCTACTTGGGAGGCTGAGGCAGTAGGATTGCTTGAGCCTAGGAGTTTGAGGTTGCTGTGAGCTAGGCTGATGTCACAGCACTCTAGCCCAGGGCAACAGAGAGAGACTCTGTCTCAAAAAAAAAAAAAAAAAAAAAGAGCAATTAAAGTCAACTGAAGTAAAATAAAAAGGTGCTGAAACTGGATCAAAGTGCAAATTTGTAAATGTCATAAAGGACTTTTGCCCCTGAAACCTCGGCAAGCTTAGAGTAGTATTTAGAGAGTATTTGGATATGCTGGCTGATATAAAATACTACAGTTAAAGATATTTAGGGAGAGGGCAAGGGCGAATGCCCTATCATTCAGACACCTAAAAAAGGAAAGATTTCATGCGACAGGAATGAAGATTCTTCACATTATTAAGCCTCATGAAGATAGGAATGCTTCATATCAAGTATAAAATCACTAAAGATCCCATAAAACCAAGGGAAATCTATGCCAAATTAATATTTTATTCTTTGATTATAGAAAATAAGCTGAACAAATATTTTGAGGAATAAACCAAAGCATTTAAAAGTAAAATTAAAAATAACCTCAGAACTATACTTATTTACTGTAAATGACACTGTATCATTTACTTTGAGAATACCTAATTCTTTTCTATATATAAAACATGTGAGTGAATGCAAAACAGTAATTACAAGGCACGGATATCTGTGTATATATAAATGTCTGAAACTACTTACTGTGAAAGCTGAGGAGGCACACTTTGGATTTTGTTGTCACATAATACCAAGTAAGTCAGAGAAGGCAGATTTGCTAATTCTGGTGGGATTTCTTTGATGAAGTTTCCCCCAAGATATAAACTTTCTAAACTGCAAAAATAAATGAACAAAAACAAAAAAGTAAATAAATACAATTTGGACAAGATACTCCATTGTTTCTACTACAATGAACACGTTTCATCTATTCATTCAGCAAATGTTTCACTTAGGATTTGTTATGTGCTATCCAATCTCTAGAGAAATAGTGCAATCTTCAGGGAGCTTTTACTGTACCTAAGCAGATGAGACATACCAATGTTAGACATTATTATAATTAAACACGAGCAAGCCCAAAAATAAGCATTACATGATTAAAACACCAAAATAAGGACAATTCATAAATGATATAGGAGTTGAATGAAAAGGAAGAGAAATAAGAAAAAGCCACAGTAGTTCTAACTGGAAAAGGCTTCCCAAAAGTATTATGAATTTAGCTGGTCTATTAATTTAGCCCATTTAGATGTGAAGAAAGAGGACATCAGGTTGGAGAAGAGGGCTTTTTAATGAGTATACCTTTTTAATAACAGAAGAAGACAAAAACCTCCTGAGGAATCCAGAGATAAGGCTGAAGAGAGGCCAGATTATAGGAACCCAGATTTCCACACTGGTATGCTTGGATTTGATGCACTTACAGGCAACTGGAAAACCACTAGCCTTTTTTTGAAAAGAGTAGAAAACCATAAGTCTCTACATTTCTCCTCTGCTCTTATTTTAGTGAATACATTCTTTAGAGGTGTCTAAATTGACCACTAGCATGAAATTAAAGTTACAGTTAATTATCCTGTTTTTCAACAATAAGTTAACATTTTATTAAATGTTTTAAATAAAAACAGCTTGATTTTTTAACTATTAATATTTGATGGTGTGAAAAATGGTACCATTCTGGGTTTTTTTTTTTAATCTGCAGGTCTGCAGTTCCCTAATTATTAGTGAAGTTTAGCATCTTTTCATGTTTGTAGCCATTTGTATATCTTTAGAGAATCACCTATTCATATTGTTTACCCATCTTTCTCATGGGTTATATGGCTTTCTCTCATTAATTTGTTGGGAGCTTTGTTGTTGTTAAATATATGTTCTGCATAACTTTGTTCCTTTGTGGCCTAGAGGATGGTATATTTTTATTCATGTATTACATGTGTATAAAAAGAATTTGTAGCTCTTAGGATTAAGCTTGTTAACTGAACACATTTTTTTATAGTTTCTCTTATTATTTCACCTTGTTGGTTTGGTGGTTAGGCTCCTACTATAACCATGGGTTTCCTTCTTCCCTTCAGAGTTCTGTCAGTTTTTGCTCTCTTTCCCCTAAGTGTACAGAAGCTATATAGTGATACCTTCAAGTTCAAGACTGCTAAAACTTCTCAATTATATGAAGCATTTCTCTTTGTTCCTTTAAATACATTTTGTCTTGAAATGTATTTCCTCTGATTATCAATACTGCTTACCAGTTTTATTTTTGTTAGTACTAATATTTATTTCATTAAATCCCAGTTCCACCACTTACCAATATAAAAACTTGGACCAGTTACTTAATCTTGCTGTGCCCTAGTTTTCTCTTCTTTAAAATGGAATAATATCATATATCATAAAAAATGCCTAGTTAACAAATATTCCCATTCTGGGGAAACTGTGTAAATAAATAAGTTCACATTCTTGACCTGAAGAAGCTTACATTCTAGTGAGAGAGACAGAAAATAAATGGACAAGGGCATGTCTATTATGCCAGACAGTTTAAGTGCCATAAAGAAAAAGGGAGGCAATCAGATAGTGATGGAGGTGATACTCTAGATAGAGTGGTCAGGAAAGGTTTCTCTTAGGAGATGACATTTGAACAGAGATCTAAATCAGATGACTGAGTGTGTACAAACCCCTGCACTGGAAAAGTGACCGGTGTGTTGTGAAATAGCAGCACAGCCAGCATGGGTAGATCAGAGTGACTGAGGGACCATGGTGATCAAAGACGTCTAAGAAGTAGCCTGGGAAGCCAGATCACAGAAGGCCCTTCGGGCCTTTGTAAGGAGGGTTTTGAACAAAGGCTAGTCATTTACTTTGACTTGCTCTTTAGAAGGATCATTTTGGCTACTCTGTGGCAAATAGCTGGAGAAATGGTGGGGGAGCACCTCAGGCGGGAGTGGAAGCAGGAAGAGCAGACTGCTGCCTAACGCAGTAGCTTAGATGAGAAATGATACTTTGCCTGGTAAATCTTTTTCTATCTCTTTACTTTTAACTTATTGGTATATCTTTATGTTAAGTGTAACTCATAAACAGCACACTTTGATAGTTGATGTCTGGACATGTGTCTTCTATTACCACGGTATATCTCAGTATTTTTCCTTCAGTTCTGCTTTTTGTGGTGCTTATTAAGTTTCCTTTTATTCCATTCCCCCTCTACTGTTTTGAACTGTACATGCTATTTCTATTTTGCTAGTAGGTATCCCCTTCAATTTCCTTTGTGTATGTTCTCTCTCAAAACACATATCCATGCTCCCTTCTCTGTCCTCTTCATATCATCTTCTAGAATTAGTTCTACCTTGATTTTCTAAATAAATTTATTTTATTTCCAATCAATAATTATTCAGATTTATCAAGATGTTTTACTGATTTTCTTTGTTCACCACTGTTTTTGGAGACTTGTTATTTCTTTTAAGGGTCATTTTTCTTGGAGTCCTTTGTCTCCGATGTTTTCATTTTTTTCCCTCCCTCTTGAGTAACAGTTTAGCTGAGCATAAAATTCTAGGTTGGCAGTTTACTTTTCATTAGCACTAGAAGATGCTGCTCCATTATCTTATTACAACCAATATTACTATTATTCCTTTGCAGGTAATCTGTTTTTTTTTCCTTGTTAGGTGCTTTAAACATTTTTTGCTCTATTCATCTTTATTATTCTGAAGTTTTACTATGACATTTCAAGATATCAGTTTAGAGAGTTCTTTCTTTAATTGTGGGAAATTTCATCCACTAATACTTCATATGTTATCTTTCTTTCATTCTCTTTATTCTTTTTTTTTTCCCCTAGGGTCTTGCTCTGTAGCCTGGGCTAGAGTACAGTGGCATCAGAATAGCTTACTGCAAACTCAAACTCCTGGGCTCAAGCAATTCTCCTGCCTCCCCCTCCCAGGTAGCTGGGACTACAGATGCAAGCCACCACACACAGCTAATTTTTCTGTTTGTTTTGTAGAGATGAGTTCTCGCTCTTGCTTAGGCTGGTCTCAAACTCCTGGCCTCAAGCAATCCTCCCACACTGGCCTCCCAAAATGCTAGGATTACAGGTGTAAGCCCTTGGGCCTGGCCTCTATTCTCTTTCCAGAATTGCTCTTAGCAGTTTGAACTGCCGGATCTATCCTCCCTGTCTTAACATTTCTTTCATACTTTTCATTTCTTTATCTCTTTGTGCTGCATTCCAGAATGCCTCAGTAAGATCTTTCAGCTTATGGATTCACTCTTCAGCTGACTTCTGTCTACCACTTAGCCCATTTAATGAGTTCATAATTATATTTTTTCATTTCTAGGGATTCTAATTGGGGTTTTCATAATTGTCAGTTTTAAAACTCCCTATTCTTGTTTTATTGATGAAGTTCCTTCATCTCTCTGAAGTTAGGAAATATACTTAAAGTCCTTTACAGATTGCCTTATAGATATTTTCACACGCATAATTCCATTTGTTGAATTTCTTCTCTGTCTTACATAATCTCAGCCTTCCTTAATACGTGGTGATTCAAAAAGCCAACCTGAATCTGAAGTTTTGTCTTTTTAAAAAAAAAATAGACTAAGGATTTTTTTTTTTCTATTTCTGATTCTATAAAGCATTTCAAGGTTGCATTTCTCTTTAGACTTATAATGCTTAGAAACAGAATACGGACTATTTTAATTTTATGTTATCTTTTTTTCTCTCAAAGATTATCTTGTAGCAAAAATCAATTGTCTGGTTACAAGATTGAATTCTTCCACACATAAGTGCTCAAGCACTGGTGAGAAAAGGTTCTTAGGCAGGGTTTTTTGATTCTACCTAGTATGCGTAAGTCAATCCTCACTTATTCAGAAATGATGAGAACTACTTGAATAAAATATTTGGAGTCCAAATAATAGAAACTACCCCAGGAAAAGGAACTACTTTAATGAGAAGACAATAAGGGAAAAGTTGAACAAACTTGGAAGTCCTTTTAATAAAGGATTTAATAGTTAAATAACAATTTGCAATATAGTCTACTGAGAGAAAAAAAAAATAAAGTGAAGAAAGCGAAGAGTAACTCTGAGGGCAAGTATAAATACTGCCCTTTCTATTTGCTTAGGTCAGTGTAATGGACCAAATGGAAAGTAGAGCCCTCATGAATGGGATTAGTGTCCTTAAAACAGTCCTAGGAGAGCCTGCCTCCTCTCTTTACCATGTGAGGACACAGTGAGAAAACCGCAGTCTATGAACCAGTAAGCAAGCCCTCACCACACATCGAATCTGCTGGTCAATCCTGGAATTCCCAGCCTTCAGAACTGTGAGAAATAAATTTCTGTTGTTTGTAAGTCACCTAGTTTATGGTATTTTGTTATAGTAGCCTGAATTTACTAGATAGTCAGGAACCAAGAGAAACTAGTCTCTAGTGATCAGTTACTACTCAATACTTCTCTCAATGCTTTGGAAGGGGAGGCACACAGAAAGAATGTCAAACATTTGCAGTTATTGTGACTTTGGCAGAAAAGGATTTGGTAAGTTCTAAAATATAACTAAGGCCATGATTTTGCAATTATGTAAATTCTCTTTTGCAATTGATGAGCATCACTAATCAGATTACATAATCATCATATTAAATTTATACTTTCAGGAGTCTTTCTTACTTTCTTGTTTTTTTGTTTGTTTTGTTTTGAGCCAGAGTCTTGCTCTGTTGTCCAGGCTAGAGTGCCATGGCGTCAGCCTAGCTCACAGCAACCTAAAACTCTTGGGCTCAAGCAATCCTTCTGCCTCAGCCTCCCGAGTAGCTGGGACTACAGGCATGCGCCACGATGCCCGGCTAATTTTTTTTTTTCTATATATTTTTAGTTGTCCAGCTAATTTTCTTTCTATT